GTGTACATATACTGCGCCGCCAGGGTTTTTTCGACCCGTAGTACTCTGTCCGTTTCCGTCCCAACTGTGCCTATGCTTCATCTACTGTGCAGTAGCTCGTCGTATAGATGCGTAAACACTCCATATCACATCACTGAGATTCATCTGATAGATCTGGTGCGCACCCTCCCTCCAGCACGGGAAACGTAATGTGTAATGATATTGTACAAAGGAATACAACAAGATGTCAAAAAATAAATAAACAAGTAGTACGGCAAGATGTCAAAAAATCCCTATTCACGCTCAATCACAGTAACTCCTCTGCATCCAAATAAATACCTGACCGTGTCGTTGCTACTCGGGGTCGACATTCAGGGATATACACATCCGAAGTCTTGTGTGTCAACTGGCGAGGAAGAACAGGTGCACGTCCGAAGTACAGGAAGAAGGTATCTGCATAGTAAGAAGCAATCGATTTTTCGAGGCCCAGGAATTCCTCTTCTGTCCATCCGGAAGGCTTGACAACGTCCAAGGATGCTGGATGCCCTTGCCATGCTCTCATAGCTCTCTTCATTGCAAAGATGCATGGTGCACGCTCTAGCCACAGATGATGGGCCACTCCATAATTCGCACATCCGATATCAATTTGTCCGGGTAAATGTCGGCCATATGGAAAACACCTGGCTTAGTTCGAATACTTCTGTGATTCGCCCTGAATTCGCAGTCGCTCGACGATGCAGTGCCCTGAACTCGCAACGAAAATTGACTTCGGCGAGCTCCCAACAAATTTCACGACGTTCCTCATCTGTGAGTGACTCATATGCCTTTCCTTTCCAGAAGGCCGTGGAGGCGTCATTATCCGCGCGTAGAGGAAAATCATCGAGGTAGCCATCCATCATTCTACTAACCTCTTGGCGTCGTTTTGTAGCCTTGGTTGTCTGTCCGCTTGGCTTGCTTGCCATATGAAGAAACCCTAATGCTAAGACTGTGCGCCACTCCTGATGATAAAGGTTTGGCGGAACACACTCAGTCACAGTGAGACGAGCGTACAATGGTGTGCGGAGACGAAGCCATGAGACGAGAAATGAGTCCACCTTCTCCTCAGTATTCAAGGTCGCAATGATGTCTGGTCGGGGAAAGGCGTATTGATTCTCCCGAGGATTGGCCGAGGGATTGGAGAGAGCCGGACGAGCACAAGAGTGGCAGCGCGCAGGATCCGCATCGACAGCTAGCAGCGCAAGACGCCATGGTTCCACTAACGGAGGAAGGAGCGGGTGTTGGGGGTCCAATAGGCGTTTAGGCTGAGGCCGAGTGTTTTTTTTATTATCTTAAATATAATTCAGATGTTATAACTTAAGGATAAGACAGGGATACATACAAGGAGAAAATCGCGAAGACGATGTAGCCTTGGCCAAGGGAATATCGTTGCGACTGAGTATAATTGGGGATGCAAGGGCGAAAGGATCTATCCATCGTAGAGAGTGCATCACAAATTCTTGTATCTTGAGGTACTTCTTTGGATCCCTCGAAGAGCCAACAAACACGGAAGGAAGCCTTAGACGACAGGGCTCCTCTGTGATTGGTGACGTTACAAACGGGAACAGTGCATCGATCCGAGTACCACCAAGATCCTTCATGGGAACGATACGCCAAACAGGAATGCCGGCTTTGAAAAACCGTTGAACAACAGTTGCATCATTGCAGAACGTGCCCATTAGATCCTCATCCACAGGGAGAGATGGCACGTCGCGTTCTGGGGCATCCATAAGGGGTTTGAAGACGGTCATATACTCGACGAAGGCTCGTAACTCCCGGGCAACACGCTGCGTCTCTGCAAACGTCAGACAGACACGCGAAAACGAGGTAGGGAGAGCATGGAGTCGCTCAAGAAGATGCTCAATCATGCTCAAGTGTCCACGCATACTGCGTATCACACTCTCACTTGCTTTGACAGTATCCATGGACTCTATGATGATGCGACACGCTTTCTGCAGCTTCAGAAATGTTGGCCTGCACAGGCGACCTACTCCCTCCACGATTGCTGATGGATCACATTCGACGAAGTCATAGTTGGTGAGACTACGGTAAAGCGGGTGAAAGACGTCACTAGGCTCTGGTTCGATCCGACGAATGCAGGCGAGATGCGGAAATTGTTCCACATAAGCTTGCGGCCATTGTAATGGGTCATCGTGACCATACCGATAGTTGGCTCGCATATAGACTTCGCGATTGGTTCCCATAGGAGGCATGCAAATCATCCCGGCGTTGGGGGTGATGATGAAGCAGTCGATGTCGTCGAAGACTGTACCCCATTTACCATCAAAAGGTCCCAAAGCTGGAGGATAAAGACTTAGAAAATGGAATAGGCGAATGGAGGTCAAGCGTACATGTGTTTGCTGCACCATTGTGCAACAGAATAGCCGGGTTAGAACGAATTTTTGAGGGTGTAAGATCAGGAGGCAGCATCGAAAATATCTATGGAAGTTCAGAGTTAATTCCAAACGCAGTGGTTGTCACAGAAAAGAACGGGTCAAAACACATACGTATGATTGCTGGAGCTAGACACAGAGTGACTGTGTAAACGGCAGCCAGGATACTCAGCGTATACACGTTCCCTGGTAGACACCACCGACGAAAAACGTCAAATGGATATGACGACACGTTTGCGTCAGTCACAGAAGAAATTATTGCTGACGAAAGATGTCAAGCAAGGTCAGCGACACAATTGTGTCAACCGAAAGAGGCGAGTAGAAGGCGACAAGACGCGTAGTGGTGAGGGTGAACCGTCTCCAGAGTACGTGGGACTTAGCACCCATTTTGGAAGTTAGTGAAATGCCGAGTCCAAAAAAGTAAATAAATAAATAATCCATTTTGGATGATGACAAAGCAGATCTCTTATCGATTATCTGCTCTGCCTCTGCCTCCCACCACTACTGGCACCACACCCTCTCTTGACTGGCTTGATCCTAACGGGTCGGCCGTTCTGCTTGACGTCTTTCGTCGGCAGATATTTGGACTTGACGAGCTACGTCGGTCATGGTCCTTAGCGTCTTTTGCTGGGTCCATCCTCTTTATTCTATCTACTCCCCATGAGTCTTTCGTCGACTCGTTCCTTACCTCATGATAATCTCCTGGAGATATCAAGACCCTGGACTTCTTGGACGCCTCTTGTTTCGCAAATGTCGTCAATGTACCCTTCAATTAGACTGAGTCTGTATAACCTCTTGACCGGGTCAACGCGTACTTATCTTTTTTAGTCTCATTGCAGGCTGTCGGTCTGTTCTTTTTTTCTCTTGGAGCGTGTTCTCACATGTGGAATAGCCAGATGGTGGTTTTTCCTCGACGCTGGACTAATAGGCAGTGGTGAGTAGCTTATTTGCGCGTCCTTTTGCTAATCCATCGTCTGATTCACCTTACAAGGCCCATTCAAGAATGCCGAGAGGGCTATCAATTTCAGCCTCTCACCTTCCCCTTCCTGTGGTCCCATAACGGCGAGCGAACCCATACTAAAGGGAGGAATTATGGCGTTTGTGCTAGCTGATTCTGGGTGGGCATTGAAGATGTCCGTACACGTAAGTTCCCTCTCATTGTTGATGGTGCACCCACTCTTAATTTCTTCCTACAGCGTTCCGCCCTCCACCGGAATTGATCGACTTCAGCTCTCTCTCCCGCCAACGATGCCCTGGTATTCGCAAGCGTTCGTTCTTCAGGTCAGCTCGACTTAGTCTCAAACGTCGGAAGCTGCTCATAACAACTAGTACCGTAAGTGTCTCCTTGGATTAATTCAACCTGACTGCTGACCTTTTCTATGCCTGTATCCAGGCTGTCATCATGGCGCCCAGCATAATGCTCTGCAATAACTGTGGCCACTCCATGGATGCTCAAGTTCCCTGCTCTCCTGTTGATGTCAACAGGTACCTGCACTACGGAGGGCGGATCAGCGAAGCAGAGGCAGATCTCTGTTCAAACACCATCGTACGTTGGCAAGAACAAGTTTTTGACTACGACGCCGAAATTTTCCGGATGAGATTTGCTTTAGGGAAGCTTGAAGGTGTTCGACAATCTCTCATTGATTGCATCCAAACATCAGACGGGCTTCTTGCTCCCATTCGTAGGGTTCCTCGCGACATACTCCAAGATATATTTGAATACGTGTATACACATTCCCGAGCTCTTCTCTACCAGAGTGTTATTATTGTGCCGGCTTTTCGAAGAGAGTCAGTGCAGGCTTTATCACTCGTCGCCATATCAGATGCAAGGAAGAACAGCAGACATCGTGGGTGCGGTAAGAGGCGCGTAAGGATTGGTCCAACCACGAACCATCGGACCAGAAGGCGGGTTCTGTATATGTGCCATGTTGGTCGTCGGCATTGTTCTGACACAACAATCTCCTCTTTTCCCAGCCCAGCGAGTAAGGAAACTTCTCCTGGCCTTCATCGTTCCAACCAACGCGATAGTCGTATTGAGGTCGGGATCAGATGTGATGCATATAGCCGTGTCGCAAGCTTTTGGTCATAGTTTCGGCGGCCGAGTGGCTTGCTGTGGATACGGCAGGGAGCTGCTAGAGTACGAAGCGTTGGTGCGAGATGCGCGTAGACTCCCATCCTTGGTGGTGTCATGCTCGTCGACAACGAGATAAGTAGTCTCTGGAAATGACTGTCGTGGAATTCTCGGCCCGCGCTGGTTCTAGTTCATTACCCAGGCTCCTTTCGTGCTTTGAGCACTGTATCCCCCTCTGAATGCCCTGATATCGTTCTGAACCAGCATTTATATGCTGTTGGACCCTGTGACCAGCACGATGACCAGGCTTCACCTGCTCTGAAAGTCTTTCACGCAGGCCGGCCCTTACGGTTCTTTGCCGTCAAGTAACGGGGGAACTTTCTGATGCTTCAAGTTGTTCCTGGAGAAGCAGATGAAGAGCAGAACCGTATCTGGCTTCGTCCTCGCGTGGTGCAGATTATATAACGGGCGTAGCCTATAATTGCCTCAATCTTGACTTGATCATCCGTCAGGCCTCGAGACGACGTGTTTTCCCTTGGGGAGTGGTATAGTGGCAAGGATACGTTGCTGATGATGGAAATCGAGGTATACGTGTGCGAGGAAGGTCCCACGGAGATCCTAAGTGAGTGCTTTTGCAAGCTGAGTAGCGTTCGCATCCTTACCCTCTCAGTACAGCATCCCCTCTTTGCATCAACACTTCCCGTACCTTCCCCTCGAGCATCGAGTCACCAAATGCCGAGCGACACCAACCTCTCCGTTTGAGTATGACGACCTGCTGGCAGTTTCTTGTACCCATTTTAGCACTCCACTTGCTTCACTTGCCGTTGGCCTGGCATGCGGCAGTGACTATTTGCCCTTCGTCGTTGCCTGTTCTTTCACAAGCCCAGGCGACTCGTACTCATGACCAGTTCACAACCAGCCTACCAACCTCGCCGTTGTCGTCATCATGCCTGCTAAATGCCAAGGACCTCCGAGTTCAAACCCTTTCGACGACCGCTCTCTGCTGCGTTATCTAATTCAGGCCCTTTACATGCAAATACTCCATCAACTAACCTCTGGTCACGATAGTCCATTCAGAGTCACATTCAATCTAGCCATCTTGATGCCCCTTCTTCCTGATCAACCTTTCCTTAGTTCCTCTCTTCTTTCTCCTGCTCTTCCCTCATGAACATGACAGTGATGAATGCAAACTGCTTATCTCTCGATACACCTCGTCTTCACCTACCTCTGCACACTTCTCGTGCTTTATTTTACATACAAGAACTATCGTCGCTTCAGTTCGCAGCAACTCTTCTCAGCTGGTGCTGGTGCTTCCGTATGTGCGTGTGCAGTCATGACTATGAGCCTCCCATCACATCTCTAGGGGGAGCATGCTCTAGCAGAATACTTAAGACGTGCAGTTGAAATGGAGTACTATAGGGTGGGCAGGACAAGGAAATGCCCTCCGGATTTTGGCTGGTACAATGGAGACAGTCTGTTCACCGACATGTACACCTTTGCACTGGATCAAAGCCATGTCTCTTAACGGAGCATCTTGACGCTTGCTTCGGATTCCTTTGTTGGGTTTCAATATACAACACCATTCACCGTGACATTTCTACTCTTGCACCTTCCAAGCTGCAGGAGGCGCTCACTGCCAATGCGTACAGTTCTCACCATAGTACTGCCAGTCGCAAAGCTATGGCCAGTTAGGCTGACAACCTCCATGCTTGATCAGTGATTGTCGCATCCAGACCGTCACCTCGACTCAAACACCATCTTCCAGCACTACTGAGGGACTTGTTCCTTGTACTTGTTGACTTATGGCATACTTAGAGATTCAGTAATGAGAAAGATGGTCCAGGTAGATGCAACCATGCTATCCCGCTGAGAGAGAGGCGGCTTGAGTGCAGAATAGAGACTCAAATGCAGATATTCTGTATCTTAAAATCTCAACACGATATGAAACACCTCCTATTGTATCCTTGGCTCTTACCACCATGGGTGTTAAAGGTGGTTGGGATGTACGTTCATCTGTAGTGGTCTAGGTATTCAATGTTACTCATGTTTTTCACAGTTATTAAATCCAGCAGACTCTATGTCGTTAGTTGAATGGTCTGCTCAAAACATTTCGACCGGTACGCTTCACAACTCGGGCCCATGCATAGGTGTCGATGCCAGGTATTTAACACGTGCATATCATCCATGTTGAGACTGACTAATCTTTATAGCGGATGGATGTTTGCTGCAAAGTACCATTATGGACAAACGAAGAGTCCAGCGCAAGCATCATTGTTCAAGTGTTTGGGATGCCTTTTTCACCTTCCAGTGTCGCCCATATTTGTTTTTGACGGTCCAAAGTGTCCTCTGAATAAGTGTAAAAAGAATATAACCAAGACAAGCGACTGGTTAACTGCGGACTTCAAGCGACTGCTCGAAGGATTTGGGTTCCCCTATTGGGATGTACGTTGATCTATCTTTGTCCTGTTTCCTCTCTCATAAAGGACTTAGGCTCCTGGTGAAGCTGAGGCTGAGCTAGCACTGCTCTCAAACAATGACCGGATCAATGTCGTGATGTCGGAAGACTTCGATACAATGGTATTTGGTGCTCAACGAGTGATGTGAATGTGGGTAGTATCTTCCTCACTCTATCAATGTCATTATTGAATGGAACATATTAGTACTGATGAAAGTGACTCCAAGTACATGATTAAAGTATATGAAAAGGGGGCACAATTTTCTCCAAATGAGCTCATAATGATTGCATTACTTGCAGGAGGAGATTATGATGTAAGTCATTTGAAATCATCGGTGAACTTGTTCTTACACATGCATCATGCAATAGGATGGGATTCAAGGGTGTGGAATCCAGACTGCTGTTGACATCACCCTAACCGGCATCGGTGAACGACTCTTTGAGGCCCTCAAAGCATCTACGGTTGAAAATTACCCCACTATTGCTTCCATGTGGTGCCAGGACCTCTATGCAATGTTGGACTCCCAAGGAGCTGGCCGTCTTCATTCCCGACGTCATGCACTGGCTTCGCACATCCCTCTGGATTTTCCAAAAGTTTCAGTCCTGATCCAATATATTCAACCATTGACATCACAGTCAACTGGCTCGTTCACTCTACCTGCTGCTCCAGTACCATGCCCACCCGACATTCCCAAACTTGCATGGCTATGCAAGGAATTATTCATCTGGGGACATTTGATGGGTATTGTCCAGAATTTTTGCGATCATGTTTTTCCAGGACTGGCAATCCGTGAGCTGCTTCAGGACTTGCATAAGCGACGAGGTGTTATGCAGGAGAGTGATATGTCATTGTCCTCTTCTGCTATCATTTCCAAAGTTTGTTCCATCCATGCAAATCAACGTGAACGATCAGACTCCGAGATTTTCATCTCCCTTGTCATTCCCCATGCAGTTATCACTCAGATCACTTCATCAATTGATGGGGTATACAACACTGATATCACCCAGAACTCCCTTGAGCAGTGGCTAGAGAAATGCGAAGCTCGCGTATGGCTTTCCCATGTACTAGCACTCCATGCACGGCCAAACATCTTAGATGATGTGGAGCATCCAACATCCAACACTGCGAAGAAACATAAACATCAAAACTCATGCAACAAAGAAAAGGGAAGAAGAATAGAAATGCCAGGGCCGACATTGCCACCACAGCAGTCTAAACGGGTGGATACTAAAGTCAGAGAAGAGAGCGAACACTGGCGAGGTGAGACTCACAGTTTGAGTCAGGAATGTATAACTCATGTGCTATAGAAACTCCCGCAGGACAACGAGCTCGCTCTGTTGAGGTTATCAATATCTCTAGCGATGAGGATGAGAGGGCGACAGGTAAGAATTGCCGAGTTGATGTCTTGGAAATGAGTAACCTCAAGCTATCTTCTAGAAATGTCAGTGAAAAAACGCCACCGTCGAGCAGCGTCCCTGACATATCACATCCAGATTCACTATCTGGAATCTGGGGAGATCTTAGAGCTTTGTACAGATGATGAAGGCACTTAAACAGGGGTGCTACTCCTATTTGTCATATATAAACCATATACTTTCGTTTCCTCACTTTCTGTCTCTCCCTCTGTATATTGCGATGACTGCTGCAACCAAGAACATGGATGACAGCAATGATATTACAAATGCCAAAGGGATTTGCAGAATTCTTGACAAGTCTCGAGCTGATTATCCGGATCAAACTGAAATTGAGGACGACATTGAAGGGGAGCAAGAAACCTGCGGCGATTCTTTCAATCATGACAATGATGGTGATGTACAAATAGACACGAGTGTGTCTGTTGAGGACAATGATTTTCTTACTGTCATCTGAGAGGCATCGAAAGGCATCCAAGAGGGCATGGCAGACGCTTATGAAGGGTATAGCCAGGCTTGTTTACTTCTCTTCTCTATCCCGCTGATTGACTTTATCTTTTCAGTGTCATGAGACAGTTCAATGAATTTCTCGTTCAAGAGTGGTTCATCCAACCTGGCACTGACATCTTCAAGCAAAAGGTGCTTGATCCAAAGATTGATTATTATATTATCGGATTTATTATGAGCAAGTATGTTTATCCCTTGCAATTCGCAACGATCATCTAACATTCATTTAATTAAGATGCGATGACTGTGATATGCATGGGGTTGATAAAGGGCTGAAGGATGTTCAAAGGACCTACTCACACGTGCAGAAGATTCAGGCAGGTACCACATATGGCTTTCGGACAGCTGGTGGTAGAGATAATGTTGCTTGGAACAGGGAAAATGCCTCCGGAAATCCCTCGATCTCACAACTGGTTTCATGCTACATGGTTGGTTTACAAAAACACAAGGTAATGGACAATGAGAGAAACTACTATTACCTGTCTGACGAGCTTTCCAGGTAGCTAAAGGAGAAACTCCAACCAGTGCTCGGGCCATTGGTCCCGTAGGTCATTTCTTCAACTCATGTTCCTCAGCTCATAAATTTTTCTAAGGACAATCTTCTGCAGCTGTACAACTTCAATCACCAGCCTGAGAACTGGGATAATACCAAGTTATCTGCTGCTAACTGGTGTGGAGGAAATATGCGCCATCTCCTCCAAGCGGTCTATCTTGTTGCGTTTACGTGCCTACTTCGCATTGACGAGGTGCTGAAAATACAGGTTCACGATCTACATTTCTATGATGATGAATTGGACAGTACAGCTTGCATGTCAGTCACTTTGCCATTCCATAAGACAAACCCATATGGCAGTGAGTTTATCTAGCGCACAGGACTTTTGTTGTAATGCTGACTTCTGCACAGAGATACCACCATTCATACTCCGAGAGCTCCCAGAACATATGGTGCACCTATGCCCTGTTAGAGCACTCGCAGAATGGGTCAGTGCCTCAAACATTCTATATGGTTATCTGTTCCGCAGGATGGATAAAAGAGATAGACTGATTGTTGCAAAGAATACCCATATGGTGAGGTACTTCATTTCCCTATCATTAGACTTGATGTACTTATTCTTGATCCCTGTCAGACCATGGAAGTGTTTCTTGAACTCTTCCGCAACAATCTATGGGACCTAGGCATAGCACCCTATGCTTATGGCATGCACTCATTTTGCCATGGGGGCTGTCAGTGGCTCTCTGTCGATCTTCATTGGTCACTTCACCAAATATGCGAGTGGGGTGGCTGGAGCACTGAATTTTCCCACTTGACCATTGTTAAATACCTTATCTCTTGGAACAATAATCCAATGCTTCAATGAGATGAATTCTTCAAGCTTGACCGTCAAGTAACCATTCAATGCTGGACTTGTGGTCGGACATGCCCATGTGCTTAGGTATCACCAATAACATAGTTATTTGTCCAAAAAAGTACTAGTGAAAATTGTAATTATTGTTCTCGTTGTCAATCCCTCTTCGCATTTGCCATCTTCTTCCTGTAATGACGTGCAATATCACAATCTTTTTTCATAACAACCCAAACCTTCTCCTTCTTCTTTATGTGGCGAAACTCATGTTCGAACCTGTCACCATACTCAGCCTTTGCTTTTGTGGCTAATTCTTTATCAGCCTGCTTTCAGTCAGCAAGAAGGAGAGTAGAGATTCGAGAATATGAGAGCCTTTGACCACGAGTATCTGAGTACTTAGCCCAGAACATGTCTGGTGTGAGAGCCTGATAGGCCTTCATGAAATACTGAATAGCCAGGGAAATCAGGGATAAGTGAGCGAGACAAATTGCATCTAGAAAACAATGTACCTGCCAATTAGTCCACTCATTCTTCAGTTGTTTCCATTCATCCCCTGTTGTCCTGTTGTAACAGTACAATTCCTTCCAGAGTCTGACAGGAATGTCATGCCCATGGATCACTATCGGGTGATCACTAGGAGGATTCCACTCGAGGCTGCCATCATCCCAGCTGGCAATAAGCTTTTGGATATCTGATGCATATCAGAATGGTGTTGTAGGTGGAACTTCACTTTGATTGAAACATAAGCGGCTACCATCAGCAAACAGTAAAACACATAATTTGGAGCTGCTGGACGTGGCATCAGAAGCTGCAGTGCCAAGGGGTTCAGTCAGAGGTGGACAGGCCATCACCTGGAGAGGCAGAGACATGGAGGGCAGAGCAGCTGACTCAAGGGTAAGATCTTTGAATGGTATGGTGGGCGAATCAGGCCGATCCACATCATCAACAATGTTGACAGAATGAGCTGTAAGCCCCAGGCTAGTGGTGTCAAAGTCAACTGAGGGACATGGAGAAAATGAGGCCATAGTAATGTCAGTCGATGATGCACGGGCAGCCAGCTGGGCCTCGACAATGGCAGCAACATGCTTGGCAAAGAGCCGGTTGTTGAGCAGATCTGAGTCCTGCAAGAATTCATCAATTGTTAGAGCAGAATCAGAGCAGAATGACAGCAAGGGACTTACTGAGGGTTTTCTATAAGGCATGTTGTTTACCCTCCGCTTGGGCAGATGGGTGTGGCATGGGACTTGCAGCAGAGCATTGGCAATCTTCACCAGCACACGATGACACTGAGAAACTTGTTAGAAAAGTTGTGTCATTAATACATAGGATAGGGAGCAAACCCATGGTATGATCCCGTCAATCTCAGCCTGAGTCTGAGTGTCCTTCGAGTGTTGAATGGAAAATCCCACTGGAGAGGTATTCGATGGCTGGCTTGCATTTGCATTGAGGAGGCATGCATGTCATTGAGTTGGCTTTCTTGCCTTCACTTTCGTGATACCACCACTTCGAACGCCTTTGTGAGAAATCCGCGCTGGGAGAAGCAAGCTGGAGGGCAATAAGCTACTGAAAGAATATCATGAACACTTATTGACACACCTAGATCTCCATTTCTCCATTCCACCTTTGCTGAAGTGGATGAGTCGCTCCCGTCGCTCAGCTTTGGAGCCATAGTGGGGGAGATGGAATTGCCGGCATAATTCTTGGAAGCCTGTACTCGTATTTGAACTCATGGACCTAGAAAATGTCAGAACATGGGTAAGCAGGATATCGGTATAGGTATAAAGAGGGTGGATGTACCAGTCAATGTCCTCAACCCCAAAGTCCCCATTCTGGTCCGGGCCCATAGGAAAGGCGTATTTGGCTTCTTCATCTGGGGCCATGTTGATTATCGCCGAAGGAGGTGATCCCACTGGCCTGGGCAGAGGCATGGATGGTGGTTCCTGTGCTGTGTCATTCATCGTGAGTCTAGCTAGCCCAATGGGTTCAGCACATCAGTGTCGAAGACTCCTGAGCTTGAGGTGGACAATGAGGATGACCACGGATACAAAAACAATGAAGGCGCTGAGTACTGCAAGACCAGCAGCAAGGTCTGGTATGTTGGAGGTGGTGGTAGTACTGTCCTTTCCACTGGAACTGCAAGGAAAGGTTTCAGATATTAGTAATAGGAGCTAGCAAGCAAAAATAATGGGTGCAAGAGAAAATAATAGGTGCAAGGAAGAGGGAGGGGGAAAAGTCTCGATGCGACATGACATGACATGACGTGAATAGCAGGGCAGGGGAGAATGGAAGAAAAAGAAGATGTGCAAAGAATGGAATAGGGAAGAAGATGCAGGGGTAAGGGAAGGGATGGAAGACAACACAACTGGCAGGGAATGGGGAGGGGGAGGGAGGACACAATCGGCCGTGCCCAACAAATGACGATCATCTCATCAGAGGATGAGACGGAGGCAGTGGAGGGGAAAGTCAAACATGAGAGATGGCCTGAGGACTGTCTCTCAGATGCCACGTGAGACATTGATTCCGGCAAATGCCGCGTGATGGAACTGTCATGATCCCGAGAGAAGTAGTAGAAGGGGCAGCCTCACAGGCAGGCAAGCCATCCCCATGATTGTGACCTACTAGTCCATATCCTAGTGCCCCAATTAAAGGCTTTTGTGCTTAACCTCGATGAAGTGTCTACTAGTCGCTTAGTCACCTATAGTATTGAACAAATTGAAGTGTCTTAAAGTTACTATTCCGTCTTGGAGTGACTCAGAGCATTTCAAAGTTAGTTAAAGTATTTTCTCGGAGTTAAAGTATTTGTTCTTAGCCAAGAGTGCCACTAGTCAAGCCTAGGGTGCCGCTAGTCAAGTGTAGACCACTTGTGAGACTCAGTATTTGGCCCAGAGTGCCACTAGTTTCCAAGTATCAGAGTTAGACCGAGCACAGTTGCTCAACCCAAGTCACTATTCATCCAATCGTGTCTTAAAACCCTGCTAGTGTGAGTATTACATCTTGTGTAGCTCACTAGTACCAAATATACGTCTTTAAACAATCTTTCCCTGATTTATTGAAGTCTGCAGAGTGCTTCTATCATACTTGAAACACCCGAACTCAATAATATTGGTGATTAGTGTAGAGTAGTAGAGGGTTTTGGTGTTGTGGTGTTCATATCCATTCACTAGCCTTTTGTCACTCACCGTTACCGAGCACATCAACATGGGCAGGGGTGTGCTGCCTCTTGCCTGAGATTGGAACACTGTTGGATTCAAGGCTGGCAGGGGAGGTAACACAGGAACCGTTTTTGGGTCCCTGGCCACCTCCATTGAAGCTGCCTCAATGTCTCAAGGCTCCATACTTGCCTGAGCTTCATGGGTTCTCATAGCCCAGACCTGCTCAGCATGTCATGCCAGTTCAGCACCTACAGCCTGCTCAACCTCCACTCACCTATGAGGGGGGAGGTCTTCGCATGCAGGATCGATGCAGACATCAGCAGATACATACTGGTGAGGTTCAAATTGATCCTCAGGCATATCATATTCATGATACCTAGACAGTGCATCAGCAACCTTATTTGACACTCCTTTAACATAGGTGATGTCGAAATCAAAATGGGAAAGGTACTCCATCCAGTGCATTTGACGGCTGGACAGATTCCACTGGGTCATAAAAAATTCAAGGGCAGTGGTCAGTGACCACATGAACCCAATATCCCACAAGCTTGTCCTCCCACTTTAGGAGGGCCTCAAGGATCATGAGGGTTTCTTGCTCAAATACCTGGTAGTGATGCTGGACATTGCTAAATTTTTTGGACATGAATCCAGCAGGTCAGCAAGTCTGCCAGGTGGGTCCCTGTCCATACATAGCACCCACCCCATGAGTGCTAGCATCGCATACCACCCAGATGGGATCTGGTGATCATGCATCCACAGGCTTTAAAATAGGTGTCTTGCAACACATATTCTTGATGTTCTGCATGCATATGTCATGCACCGGTCGCCAAAAGAAAGGCTGACCATTGTGTGACATCTGATATGGGGGTCATCCATGCAGAAATGTCAGGAAGGAAATGGGCAAGGTAGTTCACTAAACCCAAGAACTTCTGGACATCATGATAATTACAGGGGATCCTCCAATTATGGATGATCCCCAGTTTATCAGTATCAGCATGTAGGCCACGGTCATTGATCTTGTGCCTCAAGCAGTCAATCTCTTCAGTGTAAAGCTCACACTTAGTCACCTTGAGGTATAGCTCATTATCTCAGAGTCATTGGAACACTAGTTCCAAGTGTTTCTCATGATCATCAATGGTATTGCTGAATATGAACAAATCATCCAGGTATACATGGAGGAAATCTCTGATATAGTCCTGAAAATTTGAATTCATGAGCTGCTGAAATGTAGAAGGGGCATTACAGTCTCCCTGCTGCATGACATGGCTAACAAATGTCTCATAGATAGACAAGAATGCCATTTTCCAGATGTCCTCCGGTACAATATGAACCTGTTCATATGCATCCGAGAGGTTGATCTTTGAATGAACTAGTGCTCGTGCCACACTAAGACGTATATAGTCTTGGTCTGGTAATGGAGTCACATCCTTTGTTATGGTTTATTCATTTTTCTTCATTTTACTCAGCTTGATTACTCATATGCGATCACCACGGATGATTTCTCACATACTATTATTAGCATATCAAAGTGTATTTAAGTAGAGCCTCAGCTGGCCTAAACCCCAGCTTCGGCTAAGGTTTAATCTACCCAACTCGAACTCCGTTCTTCGTGTCTACATGCCTGCAATCCGCTTTGACATTGTCTTTGACCTGCTAGAGTATCATCCACCGAAGTGCGAGTGGAGTTCCTAGCCTGATCTAAGTCGATTATTAGTTAGTTGTTAACATTTAGCCAAAGCTCGCTTTACCTATTGCCCAACAACTTATCGTTGCCCAATATTCACCCCTACCTCTTACTCATCGCAGTCACCTTTTTGGTTCTGCGCTTCCTATTGCAAGACCCGCTAGCCTCAGTGTTAGCAAGGGTAGCAATTACCATCGTCCTTTGTCGGTTCTATCTTCCAGGCCCCCTACTTGCGGCCTACCTGATAGGACTCCACATCGAATTTATTCGACACTAAATCCCAATTTCCAAACTGACGCCGTTCCCCCTCATCATGCAAGCGGTCGTAATATCAGCCATCATCATGCTGATAACGACCAGTGAACTCTATCCTGTTCTAACAGTCGCATGGTTAATTGTAACCGTCGGATTGTACGAAGAATAGATCCATTCACGGATGCCCTGGTCCGATGCCATTCCCGCTGTCTTTGCGACTTTTATACTCTTTTTCTTGTCCATTATTTTGTACCGACTACACCGTTGTTTCTGACAACAGAGGAGAGTCCGTGCACAACTTCCATTCCATTACGTTCCCAGCACTCCCACCTATCCTCCACCAGTAATTCACATCCCCCCGGCATCTCAACAGACGATACAAGATGTCGAATCAAACGCCTCCAGGGGACCTGGAGAATCCCTCTATGGATCGTCGCGGTCCAGCTCGCGATACTCAGAGTCGAGCACCGACTCCTACAGAAGCACTACCGCCGAGTCAGCTGACTCTGTCGATATCACAGATACCAGGGGCATATTCCTCGACCAAGGAGACTCGCCCCTACCAGGCCTCTTCGACCAGTCTCCAGTCCAAGGCGAGTCAAGTGCCGATGGAGCCCGAGGACAAGACATCGGGCATCTGGATGAGGGCGAAGAAAGCCCTGACACCGAGTTCGAAGGTGACGAGCTCACCGACCTCGAAAGGATCCAACTCGAAGACCTCCTCGGTGACCTCTACCCGAATGAGGAGGAAGATGCAACCTATACTGGAGACAGCTGGAGCGGGCAGTCTCAAACAAAGTGGACCGATGCAGACTGGAACAGCGAGCGAAGGAGGTATGAGAGAGGAGGAACCAGAGACGACTACGATGAAGATCCCGGACAGCTTGCCCTTGGGGCCTCCACCACGACTACCCCCAGTTCAGATGCCGCCGGACCCCCTTGATCTTTTTGGCCTCCGAACAGAGGGCCCCCCATTGCTTGGTACCCAAGGACAAGTTGGGTCTATGCCGACCCAGGGGAAGAGGCTCCTGTGGCCCGAGAGTCAACCGAGCGGCCCCTCCCTCCCATACCAGAAACTGACACGCTCCCAACCCTCGTCGCCAGGGCTGAACCGATGGATCAGCAGCTCTGGGCAGAGTTCCCAGATTACAACCCCGAGGAACTTAGCACAATTGCTGGCGCTGGGGACATCACCACCGTCACCCCTTTTACCCCATCAGTTGCGGGTCGAGCATTCGCCGACCCCGTCCCTCGCTACCAACGTCCCTGGCCCTTACTCTACCACACCCTTGTCGAGTTGCTTGCAGTCCCTAGAGATGCCCGGCTCGCCCCAGAAGCAGAGGCCAGAATGGACGCTGCAAGAGCAAATGATGCACGCATCTGGAGGGCTGAAATCGCCGCCCTCCTCGGGCCCGATTATCATGACCTCCCCCTCGAACCCGACGCTACCCCCGCCAAGGTCGAGAATCGACAATGCGCCGCTGCCCTCAGATACGCCGGACACGCCGAATGTGCTGGAACTGACCTTGAAGCGCGACGAAGAGCCTGGGAGGCCTACCAGTCCAAAATCACCGATGAAGACTCTGACATCGGGAGATGGAGGAGAAACAAGGAGATTGACAGACTCACCAGAAAGGGGAAGGAGGGGAAGGATGCCGAGTAGGCCCCCCAACGTGACGCTAGAGGCACAGGTAATGGACGCCGTAAGGATGGTCCTTACCAAGCCTGGGGCGTTGCTCCCCGCTATATTCAACATCCTTCCTTGGGAAGGATTATACGAGATCATGATGGAAGACATGGAGAAAGATCCCCAGTGGCTCTTCACTGAGGCAGGGGAAGACTATCGCAGCGCAAGGTACAGCGGAGATGTGTACCTCATGAAAAACATCCTGGAAGTAGAGACCTGGCACCGCGTGGCCCTCGTATGGAACCAGGTACACCCCGAAGCAGAATGAAGGACTCGTGAGCCGTACCGCTGCCCCCAGCCTATGCCAAATCCCTTGGAGATGATGGAATTCATGGCAGGTGCGGGAGGAGAAGACGAAGGAGAAGGCTTTTGGGATGATCCGGGTGCTGGGCCGTCCAAAGGAAAGGAATCGACGGTGCCGAAACAACCGC